GAATGGAATAGAATGGAATGGAATAGAATGGAATGTAATAGAATGGAATGGAATAGAATGGAATGGAATAGAACGGAATAGAATAGAGTAGAATGGAATAGAATAGAATGGAATAGAATAGAATGGAATGGAATAGAATAGAATTGAATGGAATAGAATTGAATGGAATGGAATAGCATGGAATAGAATAGAATGGAATGGATTAGAATGGAATGGAATAGAATGGAATAGAATGGAAGAGAATAGAATGGAATGGATTGGAATGGAATGGAATAGAATAGAATGGAATAGAATAGAATGGAATAGAATAGAGTAGAATAGAATGGAATCGAATATAATGGAATGGAATAGAATAGACAGGAATGGAATAGAATAGAATGGAATAGAATTGAATGGAATGGAATAGAATGGAATGGAATGGAATGGAATAGAATGGAAGAGAATAGAATGGAATGGATTAGAATGGAATGGAATAGAATAGAATGGAATAGAATAGAATGGAATAGAATAGAATAGAATGGAATGGAAGAGAATAGAATGGAATAGAATGGAATAGAATGGAATGGAATAGAATGGAATAGAATAGAATAGAATGGAATGGAATAGAATGAATTGGAATAGAATAGAATGGAATGGAATAGAATGGAATAAAATGGAATAGAATAGAATAGAATGGAATAGAATGGAATGGAATAGAATAGAATATAATAGAATAGAATGGAATAGACTAGAATGGAAGAGAATAGAATAGACTAGAATGGAATAGAATAGAATGGAATAGAATAGAATGGAATGGAACAGAATAGAATGGAATGGATTAGAATGGAATGGAATAGAATGGAATGGAATAGAATGGAATAGAATAGAATTGAAGAGAATAGAATAGAATAGAATACAATAGAATGGAATGGAATAGAATGGAAAATGATAGAATGGAAGAGAATAGAATGGAATAAAATGGAATAGAATAGAATAGAATGGAATGGAAGAGATTGGAATAGAATAGTATGGAATAGAATAGAATGGAATAGAATGGAATGGAATGGAATAGAATAGAATAGAATAGAATAGAATGGAATAGAATAGAATAGAATGGAATAGAATAGAATGGAATGGAACAGAAAGGAATTGAATACAATAGAATGGAATAGAATAGAATAGAATGGAATGGAATAGAATATAATGGAATAGAATGGAATGGAATAGAATAGAATGGAATGGAATAGAATGGAATGGAATAGAATGGAATGGCATGGAATAGAATAGAATGCATCGGAATAGAATGGAATGGAATAGAGTGGAATAGAATGGAATAGAGTAGAATGGAATAGATTAGAATGTATTAGAATAGAATGGAATGGAATAGAATGGAATGGAATAGAATGGAATGTAATAGAATGGAATGGAATAGAATGGAATGGAATAGAACGGAATAGAATAGAGTAGAATGGAATAGAATAGAATGGAATAGAAT